AAATCCAAACAGATAAGCGACGCAGCATTAAACAGAACCCACAATTGCACTACATTACTACACGCCTGCTCGCACACATATACCCAAATACTCACATAACGGCAATTGGCTTAAGAGCTAGCCAAGAACATTGAACCGAAACAAGCAACGAAAAATGAAACCAAAAGCAAAAAAAAAAAGAAACAAACGAAAACAACCAAAAAAACAAAAATAGAAAAAGGAAAAACAAAAGCGAGTAGCAAAAACCATTCGGCTTGTCCATCGAATTCGCTGAGTGGATAAATTTGAATGCAGCAAAGTGACAATGAAACTGTTTTCATTTGCAACTATTTTGCGCACAAAAACAGTAAAATGCTAGCATACTTACAGGCGTTAATGCCTTGTTGACAGCCAACATACGCTCACAACAAAAAACATTCGCATAGTTTTGCTCTTCTACTTACTAAATAGTATACTCAGTGGCTCTGTATACATATAGACATATATGTGTGTGTGTGCTAATATCGTTGTCTGCTATCGCCGCCTATGAACCCCGCACGCCTCCGTTGGATTCTCGGTTTTATCCGATTTGGTGAATATGTAAATTGTTTTGCGGATTTGCGTTAAATTCTCATTTTTATTGCCTTCGTAATGCGAGTACATTTCACTTCTTACACACACCCACTCCACCTCTGGCTTAGCTACTTTTTTATCCGTATCTCTGCTCTCATCTGCGGCTTCAGTGTGGTTTGACAATCAATTCGGTGCTCTGACATCTTCTTTACCGTTTGTATTATTGCCGTCTGCAAAACCAAGATTTGTAGATGCCGCTTGAGCGTGTGGGGGTCCAACCCGCAGAAATGCTTACGAAAATTGTGATTTCGAATTTGAATGTGGCAAATAGCGCCGCATTAGTAAATAGCAATGATGTTGGCAATGACAATAATCGACGGTCCGTTTGCTGGTCTGTTGTTTTGGGAATCTCTGGGAAATCAGAGTGTTAGCTACTTGCCTCGTTTTTGCATTAGCTGCGTATACTTTGCGCAAATCACAAGCAGATAAGTGTCAGTTATTGGCTGACAACAAGCAAGAAAATCATTTAAGTGGTTGTTCAAAAAGTTGCCGGCTATAATAGTGGTGTTGGTGTCTTTAATTTTGGGAAAATGTGCGTAATTGTTCGTATGTGTGCGTTAAAGTGGTTATGGCTCGTTTCCATAGTTTAAATCTTTATGGAATTACTTTTACAACTGCAGTTGCATTACTTTTCTCAATGCTGGCTTTAGTGCGCTCGCTTTCACACTTTTGTCATTTGGAGCAAAATATTGTTAACAACTATTTAACATAGAGTTCACATTCACGGGCCAAAAGTTAGAGTTTTCGTAGAGCCAGTCCAAAGATCCCTGAAATTAAAATCTATTATTTTATTATTTTAAGTTCGATTGCAAGTTAGTTTATATTTTGGAAGAAACTTTGGAAAAAACTTTGGCTATTAAAGGATATGTATCTTGAGTAGTGTTTCCAGCTGTTCTGAAGAGATCTATTTTATATGAAGACAACATCAAGTCAAGTTTAAGGGTTAAGGCACGATAATGCAATTTTTTTAAGAGACGGTCTCTTAAAGAGTTCTAATATCCTTAAAAATAAAAAAATATCTGCCGAAAAACCTAATTTAGTTCTATCTTAGACTGATATTGGCTTTGCTCTCAAACCGGTTGACTTTGTGTTATAATTATTTTCTTCTGTTGGACAACATTTTTCTACATTCTCTAGATTTAGTAAGAAGGAACCGAAAATAAGCATACGCCTGAAATCAAGACTGTATATGAAATTGGTGATGGACCTTGCTGACCGACTGTTACCACATTTTGAGGGGAGTCCTCTATCACATCAGACTTCTCTTCCTTGCATTAACGATAATATTAAGCAATTTTACCTGAATGAAGCTTGATATTCATTAAGCGATATGTATTCGATGGTTTCACGCAGAGATAACTGCTGCACCAGAAATTCAGAAACCGATTTCTCAACGGTAATCCTACCAGATAGTAGTATGGAACACTTTCTTTCCTGAACTTCTACTAGCTTAGACAGCCATTTGAAGACTACTATCTGGCATACAATCACAGAAATATTACTTTTCCACTTGTAAAATGAGGATTAAGCTCACGTTTACTTAGTAGCCTTGTAAAAGCTGCTGGGAATATATATTTTTTAGTTTTGAAAATCCCGCCTGTTTTGACAGCTGCTTGTACTCTGGCAGACAGATCAATGCTTCAACCAAATATACAACATAAAAACCATAATTAAATATCCTACCGAGTCTATCCGTTTTGAACAACTTTTTTTGCTAATAAAAGAATCATGTTATCAAAGTAAATTTCTCCTTATCTTTAGTCTATTTTTAGTTTCCATTTTACACAAGAACCCATGGATTTCGTATCTATAACTCTCAACCAAACAAACTAGATTTGCCGCTCTCCCCGTGCTATTGTCAAAAGTTATCTGAACCCTATTGTGCTTCACAATGGAATAAGTTCTTTACATTAATATTATTCTTCGAATATCCAAGCTTTAAAGCGCTTTTTAAGTACGATTATATAATTAATTCAAGGCATAAATCAAATACAAATCTCTTACCCACAAATCTACCAAAAGAGCAAAACGACGAGGTATTTCTTTTTCACTTTTCACCTATTTACGAAAACCCAAACAAACTTTTTGAGATATGCGTGAAATTTGCAGTTTTTAATCAAAACTTTACAATAAAAGATTGTTTTCTGGCGTACAACACAAAACATAAGCCCAACAACCAGTGCCTCCACCAGAGAAAAGAGGCACAAATGCAGAAAGTTCAAAGGTATACACCATTCAAAAACGCTGACAAATGAACAAACTACCAACAACTACAAGGATGCTATCCAGTCGAAAGCAAAACAATACAATGAACAAGTGAAAACTTAAATACTTTAAAAACAGGGAAAGCAGAGCAAACAGGCGACGGCCTTCAATGAGCGACAAAAATGAGTTCCTGCGCCTCCCAAATCGCAGCAACGCCGCCGACTACTAAAGCCGGGTGTGAGAGATCGGTAGTAGTCTGTGCGGTGTAGTTGGGTGCCGCCATTGAAAAGAGGACACTTGAACATGTTTCTTGCATTCTCAAACTAACTAAGCGAATAATTACACTACAATGCAGAAAATTCGAAATGTAAAATGGAATAAGAGCAAGGCTGCGCCGACAAGGCAGTCGACAAACGGAAGAGTCTAGCAAGCAATGGTAGTGCGACTAAATAGTGAATGGTGTAGACAGACAAATTTGTTAAAAAGACAAATAGATAGACGGTCAGACAAAACAGACGGCAGCTGAGCAACAAACAGTTGGATTTACGAAATGAAAATGCTAAACTGGTGGAGTTGAGTTGAGTTAGAAGAGAGACGAACGTGAGCAAAGTTATGCGTTACAAGGGCTCACGAATGAGTCAAAACATCAGGTTGGGTATATTATAAAGATATACTGATACTTTCATGTTGGCGCAAACTTTCGAAAAGGTGAGCCAAAGTTCGGGTATAGAAATGGTGCATAAAATAATAATTATAAAACTAGTAGATGCTATAAGCAGGACGAGTGGCAGACAGTATTGACAATGTAAAGATTTCATGTAACTTTAAGTTAATTCGACCGCACTTCTGAAAATGTTGAGGAGCTTTCTCAAACTAAAAATATGATCTGTGGTTTTATTAAGAATACCGTAAAAGCGTTTCCAAGAATTTAAGATTTTTTCAAGACGGATTGCAAGACCAGTTTTGTAAAGGTATCTCAATCTCCGCCGCTTGTCAATGTCTCGCATCTAGTTAGTGATATTTGTATAAAATGTTTACTTTCGACTCTAGTACACGCTCCATAGCTTCTTTGTATAATCAAACGTATAGGGTTTGTTTAGTATAATATTACTGAAAGAATTGTAAGTACTCCCTCTATTTGATTATTTTGTTCAGATTCCAATTATCAAAGACTCTCGTCGATACCGACATCGTGCTTTAAATTACCTAACAGATCAAAGAATATGCCAATAATAAGCCTGTTTTTCATAACACCTTTTGAAGTAGAGATCAAAAAACTCGGTTACTATTTTTGTCCTGTCTCTTTTATCGTCAATAGCACATGCCTGAGTTATTTGCTTTTTTTTTGTTTGAAGACATCAATTCTCTAAACATGGTCTTCTTCAAAATTATTAAGTATATATTTCCTGAATTTGTAACCCTTCCTACAATATGCGTTATTTTATGGATCTGGTCTTGGTCTATGTACTATATAATAACCAAACAGGCAGACTGACTTAGAACTGATTTTAATAGTGAAATCCCTACTGCATCTCAGGAAGTATGGATTTTTTCCACTCGACGATATTTTGTCTTTCCTTTTATATAATTTAACTTTCCTCGATTGCTTTGTGCTTACTCTTTTATTTTATTTTATTTTATTTCGAGTAAATGAATGTCTATTTGAATAAGAGCGGTGCCTGTAGACGGCAGCTCATCGCATTCAAAACTACTTGAGTTGTACGCGACGACACTAGGCGCTAAAGAGCAGACTACAACTTACATAGCAGACAGCCGACCGAAGTCACGATGCAAACGCCAAACACCAGTTGCGTCTATCTTCAATTTGTAGAGAAAGCACATTGCTTCAGCCTAATTTATATGTATACGGCACATCCAATCTGCGGCTCGGAGGCCGTGTGCATCCGTACACCTACATATATTAATGTATTTATTTTTATAACTGTAGAGCAACTTGTTTGCATTTCAATGTGGTGAACCGAATACATGATACTCCAGTTGGCAACTAATTAGAAACGATACATAGATCGATATTTAAATAACTAATTTACATATAACATATTAATATCTCAGGCTTATATGCTTTCAATTAAAAGTTATTTATTGTGAAGAATAAATATACATAGATGAATTCTCTGAAAAGTAATATAGATAAGAAAATCTTAAAACATTTCATTGGTTAGTTAGCTGTTGAATGACAATATGTAGAATATTCTGTCACTTGAGACGTGGCATTTCGATGGTTTGTATCAACAGAGTTTGCGGTATCTAATGGGTTGAGTATTCAGGAGAGCTAAAAAGTTTAGCTTCAGTTTAGTTCTGAAAGTAGGTAAAAGTTTATATAAAAAATGTAGTTCATAAATATTGTTGAAAAAAGGAAGTATGTATTGTCATAAAAGATGGATATCATATGAAATGGATTTAAGAGGCTACAACCGAATATATGGAGAAGGCTTGCCACTGATTCATTTTTGTACCCTCAATAAGTTATATTAAGTTTGCCACGAAGCTTGCAAAAGACCGAAAGAAACGTCGGAGAAGCTTTATAGTATAGGTATATATATAATATTATAAATGATCAACGTGACGAACTAAAATTTCGCATCGATCTAAAATTTCGCACGCGTCCCTCTCTCTTCAAGATACTGTTCCTGAAGCTCAAGTTCTTATGTGGAAAACTTTACTATTTGATAAGATATCTTCACAAAATTTGCTATATTTGAATAAGTTCTTCAAATTGGTAGCATATAAGTAGCTGCCATTCAAATTAACCGATTCCTCAGCTAATTTGAAGAATGCTAAAGAGTTCACAGTTCATTGGCGGATATATTTAAATCCAGGTTTATTCTGGTAGCCGGTTATTGTGGGAGCACAATGTTGTCATAGTTTATAGTTCAATTACGGAGCCTCACACATTTTCAAAAAAAAACCAATGTTCTGTATTTTCTGTCAACCGTTTCTAATTAGCGGCCAACTGGTGTACACAACCGTACCGGCTCTATGTCGCTTTCAACATATACTTGAATGCAGGAAAATGTCTTTATCTATGCATACTAATATTAGTTAGACACACATAAGCTATGAAATAACTGTAGTGGAGACGTGTTATTGCAGCAAAACTAATTTATAACTTCTACAAATACCTTCATATTAACGCCAGGCATTCTCTCACTTTCCATATGCGACTATATATATACTTATTAGCCACACAAAAGTCACAGCCGCAACTGGTTGTATGTTAGTAAAGCTTTTCATATATTTCATAAACAATTTGCTGCTTAAATTAGAAAGAAACAAGTGCGAAACTACAAGAAAGGATAATGTGGTTGAAAGGTATTCATACTATATGTTTTTATATATCTGGAAAGGATGCGGTGTTGGCAAGCAACAGTACGCATAAATAAATAGTGGCCTGAGCATACAGTCACTGTGTGTGGCTTGTGGCGTTGCGCTATCTCTCAGAGTTTCATACATACATATTCATGAAAGCCACATTTGTAAGCTTGTCATGAAAGCTCCGCCGCACAAAAAGTAACTCAAAAGGCGAAAATGCGCTGTAAAATAATCTCAAAGGCAGCGCAAACACAAACGCAAGTTGTGAAATTTACAGTTACATATTTAGATATGAGTAGTCTTATATCAGATTACATATGGTTACTCACATTCTGCATGTATCTAATCATGTCTGTTGGTATGTCCACGATTGTAGTGTTTATGAAAGTGATATACTTATGATAAACAGACTTAAAGCTTCTGCCGAGGTAGCCTACTTAGCAATGTATATTTGAAGACATGAAAGCTTACTCATAAATACATATGGGCCAAAAAATTAGTTCATAATTGAAGCCTCGAAGTGAGTACTTGAAGACTTTACTATACAGTTTTATTATAGTAAGAAATTAGTGCTTATTATGTTAACGGAAATTTTAATATGTATAGTGTTACACACTAAATAATCAAAACACTAAGTTTCTGATCTAAATTGTTTTTTTCTGCCATGGCTAAAATATCCTAATATACCTGTACCCCGCTATTCCAAAATATGAAATTCTAGAATCATGAAATCCTCTTCACAGCCATATGAATGACTACTACTTTTAAGCTCAAAACCAAGTAAATACATTATACTTGTACATAGGGCTCTTAATTTTTTTTTTTTAAGTTTTTTAGTATTACGAACAACGAAAATATGGTACTAGGTTGGGTTCACGAGATAATACTCGACTTTTTTAAGACCTCTCCTTCTAGAAACATACACTTTGAGCAAGTTTGAAGATGTTTTAGGTATGAACTAAGGTAGGCCAATCATAAGCTTATCACACATCAGATGTTTATGTAAGAAGATAACAACATCGAAAGCTCTTTGCAGGCAGTATAGAGAAGCCTATCTTTCCGCAGTGTTCGATTATTTCCTTCGACTAACCTACCCTTATATTTATACAATGAAGAGGGTATACTATTCAGTTTGCCACGAAGTTAGTAATTCTATATTATATATATTATATATGTATGTATATAAATAATCATCATGATGAGTTGAGTCGATTTATCCATGTCCGTCTGTTTGTCTGATCGTCTATCTGTATATACGCCCCACAGGTTTTGAGATATCGATCTGAACTTTTGCAAACGTTCCTCTTTCCCCACGAAGCTGCTCATATGCTGCCGATATCAGAGGAATATATCATATAGCTTCTATTCAAACTGGCCAAATAAAATCAAGATCTTTTAAACATTTTTATAAATAATCGTTTTTGGAACGATCCTTATTGGAATAAACTAGCAAAACGCTTTCCGTTGAATGCAAACCGTGGGCCGGTCACCTGTGAAGCGTATTATAGCTTTGTTGTAGCAGAAGTTAACGTTTTTTCTGGTTTCTTTTTCCTTTGCCTTCGGTATTGAACTCGGATAGTTTTTTATCTTTTCCTAGATATTTTCCTCACATTCTGCTACCAGTTTAGAGCGAATGTACTTAGAGCGAATGTACTCCAACTAATTGGGTTCCAATGGTAAGGAATTCGGAGTCTTCCACTTTACTTATGCTACGTTAAATACCATTTTGAAGTTTAATGTCATTTTTTCAGCTAACACAGAAGTAAATTGTCTATCTAATAATATATTATATTAAAGAGCCAAAATACTGGGTTCAGGTTCTACATTGTTTGTCAGTTAGACTTAAAACTCTCAAATTTAAACTTAATACATTTTTTATATAATTTGTACACAATTTCAGTTATCAAATTACATTTTCCCATTAATGCTTATAATTTTTGTTGCTAATTTCTCAAGTGTTTTGCCAACTTGTTCCGACAAAATCGCGTCTTAAACCCCTCAATCCAATCAAATTTGTGCCTCCAGACACCACCACTACCACCGTCAGCTAGCCGCCATAAAGTTACGCATTCGCTCGGTGAACCACATGCGCACCCAACATACAGTGTTGCATGCCACTTGTGCATTTGCCACGGTTGCGCGTAAAACTTTCAACTTGCTACGATCCATGAGTTTTGTTTCTAATTTCAGTTGTGTTTGTATTATTTACCGTAACTTTATTGCAAAGTGTATTTCGCTCATTGGAAAGTTTTATAAGTTACTTAAAAGCGGCCGCGGGTCAACGCGACGCAGGCACTCAGTGGTTGTGGGCGGGTAATGCAAAGAATGAAGAAATGCATACCATATATATATATATATATATGCATGACTACTTCCAAGCACTTGCATTTGGTGCGAACTTGAATGACGCAGCTGCAACTTTGCCAGACGTGTGGCAACTTCACTCGAATGTGGTGAAATTATTGAAAGTGTGAGCTCCTGCAACGTGATAACGCAGATAGTTATTTAAACACGTTTCAAACTTCTTACAACGCAATGAAATAAATACTAATCGTTGTTGCTTACAATTTAGTGCTTTGTAACTTTGCTGCAATTGACTGGTAATAGCGGTAACTAACTCCCAGTTACCATGACCATACTTGCAACAGTTACTCTAAGTGCTTAACGGAGTTTAAAAACTTAAACAACTACTTAGCTACATTGTTAAAGTGATAGCAGTAAATTAATGAAGCGATTCAACCATTGAATTGAAATTTACTTGTGACATCTATGGGGGTTCATCCAATGAGTCAACAATCAAACGCATAGATTACAACTAATGTACTGAAAAATAATTAGTTTGAAAAAGACGAGATCTGGCCTAACTATACAACAATATTTATCACTCGATTTTATCCTGTTTTGAGGAAAGGAAGCTTTTCATAAAAAAATCGGAAAAATCGGACTATGATTTTTGTATAACATACGTATATATATATACATATATATTAGGGTGGAGCGAAAAAAATTTTTTTTTTGCTTAGCCTGAGGGGAAAATCTGTAGATTATAACAAGAGAAAATTTTTGGACAAAATATACAATTTTTTTAACATCTAGAGGTGCCCAACTCAGTTTTAAAGTAAATTTCGCGATACATTTTTTTTTGGACAAGAAAAAATTATTTTTGGTTTAAACTCTGTATATTTATATAAAAATTACCGAATGTGACGGGTTTTGACTCAAAATTTATTTTAACGCAAACAAATGATCACAAAAAAAAATTTTTAAGTCGATAACTTTTAATTAGCCAGACTCTCCATAGCTTTTAGAAGACTTATCAATAATTTAAAAAAAAAACTAAATCGATGTTAGACAAAACAAAAAAAAATTTTTTTTTATAATCTACAAATTTTACCCTCACGCTAAACAAAAACAAAATTTTTCGCTTCACCCTAATATACAATATATATAAAAAAAAATTTGTTTAGTTTTTTTAATTTTGGTATATTTTTGACATTTGGGAAATATTGAGAAGTTAACTAGTTCAGCCAGAAGAGTAAACTATTTGTTGACTAGTTCACAACTTGTTCTATTCACTGCTAGCTAATTTTAAAAAACGGTACAATCATGTATGTTAAAATAAAGGCCTCAGCAATTAATCCCCAGGAAAGGGGTGCGCCCACACTTGGAAGCACAGGCCTTTTGAAAGACAGAAAAGCACCTATATGTTAGTTTGATCTTTTCTTTCGACAGAGCGTTATGAGCCCATCAAAAATCTTGATTTCTGAACATGTGGGATCCAAAATATTTTAGATATCTACAACTTGGTACTCAAGAGCACAGCGCATAAACAGAATGCTACGGTCAGCGCCCCAAATAATACAAGCATTATTTGATATCAATTGGTAAGGTGGAATGGACTCCTAATTCCACCTTGGTCGGATTCCAGGCTCTCTTAAGCCTCTGCTACACTTTGGGTCCGGCACCCGGCCACAATGCGACATCAAATTGAACTGTTACAAGGTCAGTGCTCCCCACATTTGGGTTGAAACCACAGCCACTACGAATTTCCCCGAAGAGGCGACCACAATAAGCAGATTGAAGCGAACTCCAAGGGCTTACTATCCCCGTGGTACCTGAATTGAATTTCCGGTCAAACCTTGTAACCAAATATTCTTCCAGTTGACTACCCACTCTAGTCATAACTGCTGGTAAATTCTAATCTCCTGACCCGCTGGAAGAGCAACTGGCATACATTAAGATTATTAATATTATAGTGTTACACAATTAAAATCCCTACCATTAAAAAAAGGTAAGCCTTGCTGGGAGCGAAGCGTCCACTGCCTTCTTTACTATTTTCCTAGAGCTAATACGTTCTTGTGACTGCTGATATCTGACCAACGACTGTCAAGTTCACATCAGACCCAAGCATCTAATAGCAGATCGCGAGTAGACAACGGACAAAGAATAGATTGCTAAGACTATTTCCAATTTTCGCTTAGTGAAGTGATCAACAAGCTTTCAAACATAGAGTGGCATTACAGAGGGGAAGAATTAAAGTTAGGTATAATTCGAAAAGAAAATGGTAAAGATATAACATTCTTAAGAAGTGGGTTAAAGTATAAGAAATTGGGAATAATAAGGATGAAATCTCATAGAATAAACAATTAAGAAACAAATTAAACCAGGCAGAAGCGAGTTATAGCTTCGAGATCACAAACGGATTTGACCAAGCTATATCAGATGGGCTCCCAAATGTATACTTCAAAAAATATAATGGTGCTATACATATTTCCAATTGGTTAGCACGCGACATTATCAATTATTGTCATATGGATTCAAATCTCATTATTACGAAAGTAATAATTAAAAATAGTTCTATTCACCATTTCTATGAATCTACAAGTGTCTTTTCAACATAAAGTAGACTTTTAGCTCTTTTATAAAACCTGCTCTGTTTGAAGAAAGGGAAACTTCAACATCGTCAACGATTAATCGATCTTTGAGCATTTAGAGTTAAATTTTCTCATAGGTTGGGATTTCGAAAAAGAGAATGGCATGAATTTATTTTCAACTGCTCACTTAGATTCCTAAGAAAGTTGAAATATGAAGAAAAGATAGAGAAAGTCAAAATTGCAAAATTGTGGAGACGAAATACTAGAACATACTGATAGTAGAGATAGTAGAGATAGAGAAGATATTGTCTCGGTAAACGGTAATTGTTCGCTCTCCTCCACAACTCACAGGCTTACTTTATTGTCAGAGTTTTTACAGAGGTCATAAATACCGATATATATAGCTGCATATTCTGGAATTCTTAAATTTACACATATTTCTAATATAAACTTTTAAATATTCAACAAATTTCAATGTACGAGTGCCTTCAACACTAGAATTTCACTCGAAAGCACTTTTCGATTCAAATTCTTAAACAAACAAAATGAAACCAAATAAATTCGGATTAAATAACAAACAAACAACAACACAACAAGGGCAACGATTGCTTTGCATAAATGTGTGGTTGCGCGCCAAAATGTATGCAACAATTTTTACATTGTAAAACACATGTCAGCGCCAACAAGGTAAACACGACCAAAAATGCGAAAGACAGAGATGCACAAATTAAATTTTATAATAAAAAACCAAAGCAAAAACACGCATCATGCACAAAAACGGTGGCAAATAAATTTTAGAAGCCACCGAAAAATAAATACGAAAACACAGCAAATGAAAATAAAATATATAAAAAGTTAAAGCAAATATTGCTCATGTGACAAAGTGGAAATCTCGCAAAATAAACAGGAATTGCGCATCATGAAAACTTGAAGAGCAGAACAGAAAGCATAAAAAACAAAATCTGAAACAATGAAATCTATTATGACACTAAGTCCGTAAGTACAATGTTCCCAACCGAAATGATGTAAATGATGAGAGGAATACCAAAGAACAGCTTAAGGAGATGCACGTGTATGGGATTTCTTACTTTCCTAAGGTGTTAAACACGAGCTAAGCGCATAAGCCGATTAAGTGCAAAGAAGAAACAATGCTGGAAGAAGCGGCAATAAAGAGAAAGATGAGGTTTTATTGTGATGCAAGAGTGTAAGTGGGAAAGTTAAATAAAAGAAAAGTATTCAAATCGGAATACTAAAAAAGTGTTTCCGAGTTGACTACTCGCTTTAACACGTTTCTAAAAGTCGCAAATTCTACAGTCGTGGTAAAGTTGAGTTTATCCCTGATTTTCGACAACCTGGACTTGATAAGGTAATGCGTTCTTTCTAATAGTTGGGCAATGGACCCTTGATTCCAAAGCCTCATAGAGTTAGGATTCAGGTTGGTCATTATCTCTATATATCTCAGTGATGTTTACGTTCAGACGATTGAAAAAGAGTTTTCGCCACCATATAGTCAGACTGACTATATGTACGTTTCATTTATCTAGTTTGCGGAATTTCTTTCAGATCATTCAACTTTATGCCAAAGAGGATTGTATTGCTTCGCGCTTTCTTTTCCATTTTAGTTTCTCTTTGCTACAAAAGGTACGTCTTGTTTTCTTCTTAGCTCAAGGTTGTTTTTTCATATCGAGACAATAACCTAAGTCTAGTTCTCCAAAAGCGAACTCGGATGAGATATGAGAAGCATTGCTTCATCGGTGTGTCTCTAGAATCTCCTTTCCATTACAGGTACTGATCTAAATATGGTTTTCGAGACTAGTCATGTATTGCCTCTTAAATACTATTTCTTCAATGGGCAGAGAAAGCTGAGTTATTAGACGTTGCAAATCATAATACAATAATACTCAGTTTATATGAAGTCCTCAATAATCAAAAATATAGTTTTCAAGCATCGTGGCCTTCTAATAGGAATAGTCCCAAGTACCCGCTCAAAAGCTGTTTGTCAACTTCCACTGCCAATTTGACTCTCTTATAACTTTATCGGTAGCTTCACTGAGCCTCTGCTCTTTCAACAGCTGTTGCCCCTTAATCCGTATGTGTCGACAAAGCTCCACTAAATCTTCCTTTTTTTCAGCTGTGAACGACAATGCCAAACTGGTAGGTTACCTCAATTCTCAAGGGTGTCAGGGTACACAATGTTTGGGCCCGTATTTATAAGCACAAATCCAATAGCAATCTTATATTTCGGACTATCTGCATTAGCTTTAAATAAGTAAAAAGCCATCTTTGACCGAAATCTCAAAAATTTAAAAACTACTTGGTTCGTCCCCGACGCACTGGCAAAATCCAAGCTCGAGTATAAAACTTGCACTAAAAAAGTGTCCAAAACTGCGAATGAACCTGCAACGAACAGAAGAAATGGAGTTATTCTACCTCAAACTACCCCCGATTTATGTAATCAAGTCAGCAAAAATATCTGCCATGACCCCTACAATTTCCATTAAAAATATTAACCGCAAAAGGTGCAGTGGAGAGTATGCCCATAATTATAAATGTGTGTTGGATTCTTTGGTTTGCAAAGCGGGACAATTGTGTAATTCACTTTGGCGACGCCATTAATTTTCAACTCGTAGCCAATTTATTGTGTTCACCGCAGGCTATAAATAATTTTGTCGCATACCTGATGCTAACGGCTTTTGTGTTATTGTTGTTGTTTTTACCTTTGTAAGGACATTGAAAATATGCATTGGCAATTTTGATTTATAATGGCGAGAATGAAGTGCCTCTACCTCCGTAAGTAAACTCGAATGTACGAAGACAGAACAACCTGACTTTCTCCAACGGTACCTACGACTCTATATGTGTATATGTGGTAAACATATGTTCTACTCGCAAAAATTTGCATACAATATTTCGACCGCAACGGCAACGCATTTCCGTGAAATACAACGGAGCTCAAAAAGTGTGCCGTCGAAAGAAGCGAACTACCAAAGGAGTATGTGACGCACTCAGACAACACCTTTGAAAGTTACCAAACAAAAAATAAAATTTAATGTCAACTACGTCGTTTGGGACTTTTTTTTTGTGGCTTAGCAGCCACCAAACAAACGGAAGTGAACTCCCTATGCGTTCGCACACTTAAAGCCAAGTGTCAGTAACACCAGCAATTGCACACATAATCTCACCAGGTCCTTGGCACCTCCTATATTCAAAAGGAAATTGTAAAAATATGCTAACAGCTATTGGCTTCGACTCATACCCGCGTCGCGTCGAAACTTTGAGTGCTTTCAACTGTTTGGCGCTCTCTTTGTAATTCGTCGGACATAGAAAGTGATTAATGTTGTCGCCACAGTATTTGACAGCGGTTACCTTTCGATTGTCGATTAACAGTGGTTTCAATACAATTGTCCACTTAGTGAACCGCCCGCACTCCACGTGGAGGTGGTCGGACTGACTTTGTCGACACTCGTCTGGAGATGCTTTTGCCGTTAAGAAAACCAATAAACAATAAATCAAATTGCCGATTGTTATTTCTGGAAAATTTATCAAAATTTTTTAAAAACATTCAGGAAAAAAATGAAAACTTACATAAATTTCGGTGAATTTAATTTTTTTGTATTTAGAGCTAGCTGCGTATATCAGTTAATCGCTTTTAATATCATACAAATGTTTTTCTAATGAAATTAAATATGTTTGTACCGAAGAAAATAATTTCTGTCTCCTAGCCATCCTGAAAAAGAAAAATCCAACTCATAATCTATGGTTATGGTTATTGGTAGAAAGCGAACACTTTAGACTCTATTATTATATACTGTAATGAATGAATTTAAACGAGACTAGAGTTCACTTTATGATAACTTCGACTTTCTTCAACCAAAAGATAGCAATCGGTAGTTCAAAACCTTATTAGAGCGTGCATAAGTTATAGAGACCATGCTGCGGCAAACGACCACACAAACACACGTTGTCCAACCATTTTAGTTTGATCTATGCTATAAAGGTGCAACCTGGAGATTCCCTTTCTTGCAACCACTGCCGCTTGACAGAGGTCTCGTTCGACACATCGTTTGCGCCATTTAGCACCCTTTTGCTTCACTCTAGTATGCTATCATGCTGTTCAGATTTCTGCTCAGCCTCTTTGCTTCTTTTAGCGCTCCAAAATCTTTGCTGCCAACTAACGGTTTTACTTCAGCTTTTTAACAGAGGTTGCTTTACTAGTGCTGGAGATTCCGTCTCACACTTCCACGCTACCTTTAATTATAAGTGTTTCTACTCAGAGCTATCCACATCCCGGAGAAGTAGTCGCCTTATATGGTCTCAAGATTATCTCTGTTACGAGCGCAAGGAGAGTGTTGACGCACGCCCTTGTGAGGCTTTCAGTGCCGACCATCGCAACGAGGGAGTCATCTCAACCTACACCAACTTAATGATGACAAAAGAGGAATATACTCCGACGTCTGCCAAGGTTTTATTGAATCAGATGCAGCCTTGGCATTAACACATCAGCTACCATATTTCTTTGAGTGACTCCTGCATATTTAAGTGACAGAATACCTCAACCAACAGCCCAGGGTTTAACCCTCTAATAGTCCTAAGAAAAGTTCGTGTAGTGCAAAGCGTCAAAAGTCCTGCTTTACATCCCAGCAAATCATATGTTTATAGTTTTTATACCTTAAACAGGAAATATTAAGTTTCCCACAAAGTTTGTAACACCTAGAAAGAATATATGAATAATTAGCCTAACGAGATAAATGGACTTGGCCATAACCGTCTTTCCGTCTGTTTGTATATACGCGAACATATCGATCTGAAAATTGGCACACTTCTTCTTCTTCTCAAGGAGTTGCTAATTTATAGAAACCGTTGATATCGCATCACTATAGTATATAGCTGCCATACAAACTGACCGATTAAAATCAAGCCCTTGTTGGGAAAATTTCTTCGTTTGACAAAATATCTTCACGAAATTTGGTATAGATTATTGTCCACTGTAACGGTACCACCATAGCATATAGCTGCTATTCAAACTGAATATAATGATATAACTGAAGTAACCTAAATTCGACTTAAAGGTTGCTTATATCAAAAAATGTGGCTAGAAAGAACTAACAAAACATTTTCCGTTGGATGCAAACCTTTAGCAGGTTATGATTAAGTTATACATATAGTTGTACCTGGAAATGGAATTAAAGATTCGGAGCAGCTGAAGTTAACGTATTTTCTTTTTATTAAATACAATATATACTAAAGCCGCTTCTACATTTAATCTTCCATTAATGTAAACCCACCATGTGACAGGACCTACCATGCAGCATAAAATATTGTCTATGGCCCCACTCTTTTATCTCTTGCGTATAAAAGATTACAAGTTAATTGCGTTAATGTTTGGTTTGTTAATAATGGAAAGCCAACACCAACAAAAAAGCAAAGAAAGAATGCCATGATACGTACGGACGTGATTCACTAACGCATACACAAACGCAGCACACGCGCTTACGCAGCCAGCAGCTTTTATAAAGAACACACATCCTCTCAGGTGCATTGCAACAGTTGCTGGTGAGCTGGTGAGCAGCTGAATGCGGAGAAACTGATTGTGTGCCTTATTATGTTTAACAAGCGTATTTTTGTAAAAGCAAAAACAAAAATATATGTATTTGCATATGTGTGAAATACATATGTAAACCATGTTAATATATTTACATACACATAAATACACACGTATGTGCCCGCAAGCAGCATTAAATACATATAACGGTATCAAGGAGCTCTGAAATTAACTGCCACCCCCGGCTCCTGCCCACACATGTCGACGTAATCAGAAAATTGCCTGAACAAACAGTAATACCCACTTTGAAAGCAGCGTACACTTTTTAACGGCGCACATTAACATACACATACACATACATACATATGTACAATATGTATATGAATAACGGTACATAAACCTGTGTGAAGTACATCTTAATTCAGGTGTGCTTGCGCCGCACGCTCGCTTCCTTGATAACGGTGTAGGTGTATCATTAACGCTATTCAAGAGCAAATGCGATAAGACTCAAGTTCACATATTTCTTTTGAATTTTTCTTTTTTATTTTCCTTTTTTATTTTCCTTTTGCATTTTTTGTTTTTCTTTTATTTTGTGTTTCTCTTACTTTACTATATTATTACTTACACATTTACTTACATGTACTCAATGTTGCACTAAAGTTAGTTATTGTTGTTTTTGTTTGGTGCCTGTTATATTGCTACTCTTTAAGAGTAAACCGTTCTACACAGTTATCGTCAGTGTATATGTATGTCTGTGATTGCTCTTACTAAATGCTTTGTTAAGCATTTTTCGGTTAGTTGCACCTAATACGAAATTAGGCTGAAAACCTAATAGGAAACTTAGAGCCGAGTACTTTGAATACAAAAATCGCATTAAAGCGGCCTTGAAAGAAACTCAGTATCTTCATATCTCTCAAATTGTGTCAAGTGACGAAAAACCTGTTTAAAGATAGGAGCTGATTACATGAGGGGTCTGAGTAAGGCACTTACTGAAATTCTACACTACTTCTATTAAATTTTTCACAATCTGTATCACTGTATCGCGGAATCTCCTTCTGGTGTTACCTTCTCTGCTCACACACCTACGAGGCACTTATTGGTGGGACTAAGCCAGCTGCAGTGAGCTTTTTTAAGGATGGATCGAAGCGAGGAGGGTGTGGAGGTGGAGTCTTCTGTCAGGAGCACTCCATCAACTCCACCTTCAGACCACCAGACCACCGTACCGTCTTTCAAGTGAAGGTGGCTTCCATCAAAAAAGCAGTAAGGTACTAATTCTAAGTACTACTTTCTTCAGAGAAGTGTGCATTCACTTTGATAGCAGCCGATGAGATTGCTAAAGAGAGCACTCTTCAGCCAATTTCATCCGATTGGAATCGATAACTCCGTTATCCTCCTGTGCTCTAGCGTTGGACCTATGAACCTCCCACGAGCTCAGTAAGCGCTAGTGAACAACTACAACTTGTATGGCTGCCAGATCTTTCCTCTGAACTACCTGCTTTTAGCAAAGTCAAACTCGCAATTTAAGATGTTCTGACTGAACACTGCCCAATATATTTACACGCGGTGCGGATAAGTATTTTTTCCGACCCTTTTTGGCAAAGCTGGCACGATGAATCACTTAGGCCCTTTCTCGTCTGCTACTCAGCTTTTGCCAAACTGAGATTGAAATATCTCGGAAGACACATCTTCGAACATAACGAACTGCCTGGGAAACTGCGTCAGGCTTTTTGATATGCCTTTAATTTTAGAAAGGCACACTCTAGTATTTCACTAAATTTCGCTGTCGAACAGAACATAATCAAATTTCTGCCGCATGCCCCAATCTTCCTTTAAATGGAGTAAGAGTTTTCGGATAGAATTATATGTTACATGGTTTATATAGTAGATATCGTTATTTAAGTAAATTAGCCTTAAAGTCCTTTCCAACTCTTTCCACATTGCCTTGAACATAGGAAACACATTTCCTAGTAGTCAATCTTCCAATTGCCACACACATTAACTCCGCAACACATCGCACATTCCCAGATGCCACACAGATAAGTCAAATTCCAATGAATTCCTCATTATTCTTTAACAGTTTCTGCTTTTGCTGCTCCTTTAACTGCTTTTCTCTGGCATTTCTTTTAAGCGTCGGTGATTGTTTGAATTGTTTGTTGTTGTTCGCTGATTTTCTTCTTTAATTTGCCTTTGGCGTTGCTACTTTTACTGCTTGCTTTCTTTACACATTTGTACAGGTAAGTCGATAATTATCGCTCCGGAAACACACATTTAACAACAACAACAACAATTAACGTTAATTGGCCTGACTTCCGCTGAAAATCAAAATAAACGGCTGAACGTAGTGGAAGAAGAAATTCAAGAGAAATTATTTTAGTTAAATTTGTTTCATGAAATCTTTTGAGCTTTCGCGCACATAAAACCCTTGAGTTTGTTTAAGGACATGTGCGACATGCCCTTAAAGTTGTCTTTCTCGGATAGTACGTATTCACGTGATTTTGAGGCTTTAAGCTCTGCATCATTTGATATTTCTTCTTTCAGTCAAATTGACCAAGCTTTTTTATCAGATCTATCTATGGATTAGAACTTTCTAAAAACATTGTGATACTAATCGTACCAAAGCGTAAAGGTCCATGATATACAAGTATATCTTCCTGATAACCTCTTCAAATATGTATATCAAAGTTGGCTTTGAAAATGTGTTTCAGGATAAATAAAATCTCAGAATCTGAATTAGCATAATGTTGGACATCCATCGCCTTATATAGCTATACTCACACGATTTTCTAAAATAATGCAAACTAAACATGACCTCATCATCTCGTCACAAATGTCACGGACGTACTCTTAAAATAGTAATACCAACGATAAATGGTTCTTTCCTTTTAGGGTGTTCGGTGCCGGTTTTTTCTACTCAGATTCTTAGATAAGGTTTCAACCACTGGTTAGGCCATAATT